CTGGTGTAGGGGGGCTCAAGGGGGTCCAGCTGGCGGGTCCCAGCTCAGGGGGGGCCAGGCTGCTGACGGTGGTGCAGCTGAACTTGGAGAGTGAGGCTCTGGCCATGGGGGACTCGAGGGGGACCGGGCTCACGGGGTAGGGGCTCAAGGGGGCCCCAGGCACTCGTGTTGGGGTGCTCAAGGGGGTCCAGCTCAGGGGTCCGGCTCAGGGTTCCGGCTCAGGGGGGGCCCAGGCTGCTGACGGTGGTGTAGCTGAACTTGGAGAGCGAGGCGCTGGCCATGGGGGGCTCGTCGTCGGGGGGGCGGCGGGGGCAGGTGCGGCGGCACCCCCAGCCCGCGCAGGTGGCCCCGAAGGCCTTGCGGAAGCGGCGGTTCATGAAGCAGTAGATGAGGGGGTTGGCGCAGGCCGAGGTGTAGGACAGCAGGTGGATGAAGGCGATGGGGGTCCCCGAGAGCGCCCGCTGGGCCGCCCGCGGGGCGAAGGCGCGCCAGGTGTTGGCGGCGAAGATGGGCAGCCAGCAGAGGAAGAACATGGCCACGATGACCACCAGCATGCGGATCACGCGCCGCTTGGCCGCCAGCTGGGCCCCCGAGCTGTTGACGCGCGCCCGGTCCTGCTGAGCGCCCAGCGCCCGCAGCTCCAGCGCCGCGCCCGGGCGGGACAGCTGCAGGTAGCACCCGTCCCCCTCGTCACAGCCGGGCACCGCGTCCCCCCTGGCACCACGCTGGGCTGTGGGGCGAGGCAGCACGGTCAGGGCCGTGGCACCGGGGGGACGTGCTGCACCCCAACACCGTGGGAGCGTCCTCTGGGCGGTGGGATGGGGTGTCGGGGGAACATGGGCATGATCACACCACCATGGGGACCCGAGGCACCCCAACACCACAGCAGCATCCTCTGGGCAGTGGGACGGGGTGCGGGGGACACAGACACATCCGTGGCACCACGGGGACACGCTGCACCCCGAGGCTGCGGGAACATCCTACAAGGAGGTCCCTGGGAAAGGGGATGTCCCCGGGGAATCCCCCGCTGTGGGGAGCTGGGGTGGGGGCTCTACCCTCCCTCTCATTCCGGGGCAGGGTCACCCCCAGCATCACCCCCACCCCGTCCCCTCACCTGCCGCCTCCCCCTTGACGTGCAGCTCGAAGCGGATGCCGCGGTAGAGCTCGCGGGAGATGAGCCAGTACGCCACCGTCATCACCACGCCCGGGATGAAGAAGAGGATGAGGAGCAGCAGGACGTACCTGGGACAGGTGGCCCCTGTCACTCGGTGTCCCCTCGTCCCCCGTGACCCCCGTTCCCCCCCGGGACTCACCAGGCCTGCCGGAAGCGCTCGCTGGGCCAGTGGTGTGAGCACTGTGTGGGGGGCGGGCGGGGGGCGCGGGGGGCCGGGGGGCGCGTGGTGCTGTACACGGCGTAGGGCAGCATCAGCAGCGCCGCCAGCGCCCAGGTGCCCGCGATGACGCGGCAGGCGTGGGACCGCGTCTGCCAGGCGCGCGACTGCAGCGGGTTGCAGATGGCACTGTAGCGCTCGAGGGCGATGGCCACCAGGCTGAAGGTGGACACGGCCACCGACACCGCTGAGGGCAGTGGGGGGGGGGGTCAGTGGGTGCGGCGTGATCCTGCAGCCCCCCGTGACCCCCTGTGGCCCCCCAGTGCACCCCACGTACCCATGAGGTAGGGGACAAGACCCCCACCCTGTATTCCATGTACCCATGCGGGACAATCCCCCCATACTCATGAGGCAGGACAGTACTCCCCCTCGTACCCATGAGGCAGGATAACCCCTGCCCCATACCCATGAGGCAGGACAATCCCCCTATACTCACGAGGCGGGACAGTCCCTCCCCTGTACCTGTGAGGCAAGACAATCCCCCCGTACCCATGAGGCAGGACAATCCCCCTATATTCATGAGGCGGGACAGTCCCTCCCCTGTACCCATGAGGCAGGACAATCCCTCCCCCATACCCAGGAGGCAGGACAATTCCCCCAGGCAGGACAATCCCCCCGTACCCATGAGGTAGGCGACGAGCTTGCAGACGGCCTCTCCGAAGACGAAGGTGCCCATGAGGCCGGGCAGCAGGGTGAAGGGCATGCAGCACAGCGCCAGGAGCAGGTCGCTCAGCGCCAGGGACAGCAGGAAGCAGTTGGTGACGGTGCGCAGCCGCCGGTTCAGCGCCAGCACGGCCACCACCAGCGTGTTGCCCCCGACGCTCAGCACGAAGATCAGCGTGTACAGCACCACGCGCACCGCCACGTCCAGCTCTGCGGGCAGCCGCGTTGGGGACCCCGGGGCACCCCAGAGCCACCGCGGGGGCACCCCCGCGGGCACCCTAAGGCTGCCCCGGTGGCACTCCAGAGGCACTCCAAAGCCACCCCAGGACAGGTCCGGGCACTGGGGCTCTGGCTGGCTCCACGGGGCTCAGTGCAGAGCAGGCACCGGGCACCCCAGTGGCACCTCAAAGACACCCCCAGGGCACCCCGGAGGCACCCCGGCACAGGTCCGGGCTCCGGGGCACCGGGGCTCCAGCGTGCCCGGGTGGGATCCGGCGGCTGAGCATCCCGGCTCTCCCCGCGTGGCAGTCGCCGTGGGACCGGGGTGCTCCCGCCGACCCCCGGCTCTGCTCCGTGAGGTTGTGGGGCCCGGAGCCACACGGGTGCCCCCATCCTGCCCACCCCCCCCACCCCCCGCAGCTGGGCTCCCAGTCCGTCGGCAGCGCAGGGACGTGACCGGGGACGGCCAGTGCCGGGAGCCGAGTGACAGCGGGGGCTGGCGGGGCCCGGCTGGGCGGGGGGGCGATGAGAGCCCCAGCCCTGACGGTGGCGTTGGGGGGTTCCAGTCGGGGAATGGGACTGGGAGGTCCCAGCCCCCTTGGTGGGTTGGGATTGGGGGTCCCGGCTGGTCAGAGGGGAGGTGTTGGGGGTCCCTCCCTCGTCAGTGGGGCCGGGGTGCGGGGTGGGTGGTGGCTGTGCCACCCCTGTCGGGGTCCCCTCCGCCTTCCTGCTGCCCCGGTACAGCCCGGTGTGTCCCCTCCGGGATACCCAGAGGGACTACCGGGTCAGCGCCGGGGCCGCCGAGCCTCCGGCCGGGGCGCAGGGACCGGGATGCGGAATGTGATGGGGGACACGGCGGGGGACGGGCGCAGCACCGGGCAAGGACCGCGGGCACGGGGGAGCGGGGCGGGGGCACCGTGGCGGCACGGCGGGACGAAGCGGGTGCCTGGGGGTGCAGGGCCGGGCACGGGGGGTCCCTCCCGCCCTCCCCCCATCTCACCTCTGGGCGCCGGGGGCCCGCGGAGGCCCCTGCGGAGGAGGTCGCAGGCGGAGCTGTTAGTCCCGGTGCCGGTGCCGTTCCCGGTGCCGTTCCCGGTGCCGTTCCCGGCGCGGCAGAGCAGCTCCTGCAGCGACTCGTTGGGGAACCGGGGATCCATGGCGGGGCCCCCCGCGCCCCCCCGCACCCCCCCCCTCCGGCAGGAGGCACCGGGAGGGATCAGGCACCGGGAGGCACCGGGAGGCACCGGCAGGCTCCGGGAGGGACGAGGCTCCACTCCGCTCCGCTCGGAGCCGCCGGTGGATGAGCGGGGGCGGCGCCCGGCGCGGGGCGGGCCGGGGCCGGGGGCGGGGGGCGGCGGCGGCGGGGGGGGCCCGGGGGGGGGAGGGGAACGCGGGGGGGTGGGGACGGGGGGAACCGGGGGGAGGGGGGGGGGCACGGGGGGTGCAGGGGGTGGGGCTCGGGGAGTAACGGGATGCAGGCGGAGCCCCGGGCGGGTCGGGGGGTTCGCACGGGGCTCGCCGGGAGCGCTCCTGCGGCGGCGGCCGTCACCGAGGTGTCTGTCACCGTGGGACTGTCACCGTGGGACTGTCACCGTGTCCCCGAGAGTGACCCCGGCACGGCCCGGCGGGCTGGGGGTCCCGAGCTGCTTCCGGCTCCGGTACCGGCTCGTTCCCAGCCCAGACCCCACCGCTCCCCGACCTCGACCCATTCCCTTCCCGGCCCCTTCCCCGTCCCGGTGTCTCGCTGCTGTGTCCCCCCCAGGTGACCCCTCAGCGCCGTGGGACGGGTCCCCCCGCACCCCGACCCCTCGCAGGACCCCGAGCCCCGGGGAGTTCCTGCACCCGTCTGGAACCCCGTGACCAAGAGGGACCCTGTGCCATGGGGGTACCCTGCATCCTATGGGGACCCCCTCCCCCAGGGTGTCCCTGTGCTATGGAGGGACCCCGTGCTTTAGGGGGAACCCGGCCCCCGGGGGGAACCTGTGCCCTGCGGGGAGCCTGTGCCCCCCTGGGACCCTGCACCCCACTGGGACCCTGTGCCCCAGTGGAACCCTGTGTCCTGGGAGGACCCTGTGCCCTGAGGGGACCCCGCACCGTGGGAGTACCCTGTGACCTGGGGGGACCTCGTGTGACACTGCGACCCTCTGCCATTGGGGGACCCTCTGCCATCGGGAGACCCTCTGCCATTGGGGGACCCTCTGCCATTGGGGGACCCTGTGCCATTGGGGGACCCTGTGCCCTGGGCAGACCTTGATCCCCAAGAGGACTCTGTGCCTTGGAGGGACCCTGCACCCCAGTGGGACCCCATCCTCCAGCAGGACTTGGTCCCTGGACAGGACCTTGTGCCTTGGGGGCAACCTGCACCTTGGAGGGATCGCAGTCACCGACAGGATCACGGGCCCTGAGGGGACCCTGCGTCTCGGTTGGACCCCGTGTCCTGGGGGGCCCCTGTCCTCCAGCAGGACCCCGTGTCCTGGCTGGCCCCTGCGGTGTGGCCATTCCTGCTGCCCCAGCCATTCCCGCTGCCTCGTCCCGCTGCTGCCTCAGGTGCAGCCGCCCCTCGAGGCGCTGGATGCGCAGGGCCATGCGCAGGGCGCTGGCCTCCAGCTGTGCCAGCAGCCGAGCCGCCCGCGTCTGCAGCCCCTCCAGGGCCTCCTCCAGCCCCCGCAGCCGCCGCTCAGCCTCGGCCTCGGCCGCCGCCGCTGCCGCCTCAGCGCCCGTGTCCAGCCGGCCCATGGCCAGCAGCAGCTCCCGGCCCTTGGCCTCCATGGCGGCGCGGGCGCGGGGGAACTCGGCCAGCACCTCGGCCAGGTCCTCCTTGCCCAGGCAGAACAGGTCCGAGTAGCCGATGCTGAGGATGTTGGCCGTGCGCCTGTTCCCCGCCGTGTTCCCTGCGGGGCAGGGGGGGCCGTGAGCCGGGGGGGGGCCCGCGGGCGCGGCGTCGGCGCGAGGCGCGCGGGGCTCACCCTTGATGTTGATGAGGCTGATCTCCCCGAAGTAGAGCCCCTCGCCCAGCACGGCCAGCCGCGTGACGCCGTCCTCGGCCACCACGGCCAGCCGGCCCTCGCGCACGAAGTACATCTCGCGGCCCACGTCGCCGCGCCGGCACACGAACTCGCCGGGGCCGAAGACCTGCGGGCGCAGGCGCAGCACCAGCTGGCGCAGCACCTCGTGCCCCCAGCCGCGGAACAGCCCCACGCGCCGCAGGGCCGGCAGGTGCACGTCGGCCACCACCTGGGCCCGCAGCCCCCGCGGCAGCCGCCGCAGCACCGCCCGCTCCGCCGGCAGCTTGCGCTGCGCCCGCAGGTGCCGGTGCCAGCGCGCCACGCGCCCCGCCAGCCGCCCGCCCACGCCCCGCGCCCGCAGGTACCGCCGCACCGGCCCCGCGTCGGGGTAGAAGGCGGCGTCGGCCGCGCTGAGGTTGGCGATGACGGCGCTGATGCCGCCGGTGACGGTGGCGAAGCCCAGCACGGCCAGCAGGAAGCCGGCGGTGGCGAAGAGGAACTCCTCCTCGCGCCGCGGCGCCGGCGTGTCGCCCACCATGGCCAGGACCAGCGTGGAGAAGTAGAAGCTGTGCAGGTAGCGGCGCAGCGGGCGCGCGAAGGCGGGGCACACCCAGGGGTCGGTGCCCGGCCCCAGCCGCGCCGACAGCGCGAAGTAGAGGCAGCCGTGCCAGTGGATGCCCAGCACCAGGTACATCATCAGCTTGGCCACGCGGAAGGCGTTGGGCCGCCCCGTGCG